TTAAACCTTTTACCCTTAAGAGTTTAAGGTTGATTAACATTTAATTTCTCACACCTGAATCACTCATTAAGGTTATGAGAATTAGGGAAATGATGATCAACCAGAGAAGTTCTTGACTGTTAAAAAAATTCTCCTTGTCAGCACCATAGGAAATGTATAGAGAACAGTATGGAGAATATGCATACTGATGTTAGGGTGCAAAGGGTTAATGGATTTGTGCCAATGGCCTCTCAGACCCCCTAGCCCATAATAGTCTATTCTGTGGCCAGTTATAGACCCCATCTCAGTCAATTTTGGGCAAATGTAAGTTTTGTGATCCCAAGCAAAAGAATCTTCTCATTTTTTAATCCCTCCTTACCAGAATTTCCTCACCCCCAAAATTCCAAAAATATGCGATCCCATTGTAGTAACTCTATTGAAAATGCAAAAGTATTATAATATGACTCCATCCAAAAGCACAGGGGCCTCATAATTAGTGCGCTCAACTCTGGATAGAGTGGTCTGGGTTTGATTCCTGTGCCTCTCTTCACTCAGGTGTTTAAATGGGTAGTGGCGAATTTAATGCCAGGGATAACTCTTTGGTGGAATAGCATCCCATCCAGGGGGAATAGAAATACTCCTACTCACCTCATGCCACAGAAACCAGAGTTGAGCGCCAACCTCATGGGCTGCTTGGCTCATAAACTGACTTTACCTTACCATCCAAAAGCACATCCCCTTTTGCCTATTACTAGAAAGTATCCCCTCTCCTGGGCACTGACTTCAGCCATGTGCTGATCACATCTTTTTCCTGGTCCTTGATCTCTTTCTTTTAAATGAATCCAGAAGGAAAATAAATTGATGAAATGACACTTGGCGTGATCCATGTAAAATAACCACGCAGAAGTGATCGGTATGAATAGTTCATTCTTCTTTGTAATCATAAACCCCAGCAGGAAAACAGGTTGGTGCCAGGTGCCAATTATAGAGAAAAAGGAGTCCAGGCCAATTCCTGCTTATCTGACCTCATATTCTTGCCTGCACTTCACATATGGCAAACTTGAGGCAAGAATGTTATTATTCCATCATCATTTAATTTTCTGGTACTTTGCCCTATTCAAGAGTGTGATACTGTGGCACGTTTTGTGCGTACCATTGCCCTGTTAAAAAGTTAAAATGGCCTGATAGTTGAATTATAAATATACATGTATATTTGCTCGCTTGACAGGCTAAGGAGTATTCATAGTCTGTGAAATTGGCAAATCCCTTCCAAACAATGGTGAGATTTTCCCCAATGCTTACTATTTTAAACCTAAAATCTTAAAGTTTAATGTGAACCTGCATTTCAAATGAGATTTATTTGAATATATTTTCTTTTATAATTTCATTCAGTCAACAGCTTTGATTTGGATGACAAACAAAAAAGATGGGTTGTGATTGGAATTGCATTAAACAAGCTTCTATTACCAATTCTCCGTGGCTTTGCTGGAAAGGAACTTGCTAAACACTACACTTCATTGAAGAGCTCCAGTGGAATCGATAAGCAGGTTCATCCCACTCACTTGAAAAAAGATAGATCATTTGATTTAAACTATGGCAGCATTAACAACAACTGGGGAACATTCAAAAGAAAGGTGCATCGATATGATTACAAAGTGACATCTGCTGAGGATCTGGCCAAACTTTACCTTGAACCACACATGGCCAAGTTTACAGGTGGATAATTGAGTTTTCTTCGGATGTCTCTCGTATTTTGGACACAGAACGAAGCTTTACGCTATACAATCTCAAATCCCTAGTTGATCTTGTCGATAATTACCACTTGCAGTGGAATACAATGACGAGGGAAAAAGTTTATGATATATACTTTTTGCCAGATCAGTCTGCGATTTCTTATTGGCACGTCGATCTCTTACACAGGTGATTTGGTAATATCAATTAACTAAGTTGAAATTGTAAATTGACCACCGTAGAGAGTTAAAAAGCTGACGTTTCGAGCGTTAGCCCTTCGTCAGCGAAGGGCTAACGTTCGAAACGTCAGCTTTTTAACCCTCTACGGTGGCCAATTTACAATTTCAACTTAGTTAATTGATTTTAACAAATTACCTTGTTACCCCCACCGACACAAAACCACAGTTTCTTTAGAAACTTACACCCTTTATTCTTACACAGATGGCTTGGCGTTGAAGCGCATGCCCAAAAGATTCTTGGGCCGACAAGACTCTGACTTCTTGTTCAGCCGAGTCAAGAGTCATACCTTTCAATCTGGAAACTATTCTGAAAGACTAGGATATTACCTACACAATCTTTCTCCCCAAGAAGACGTCTACTAATAATTTACCTTGTATCAGTAACTTACTCCTTGTTCTAACCTCAATTATAAATCCTATTGCATATTTTCAGGTTTTGATAGTACATGCGACTTGTCAGCAGTTTTAGGAATGCTGGCCAATTCATCCGTGTTTCACACTCGCATTCAAACAAATTCGAAGGATGTGCGATCCAAAGTAAGAAATGAGTGGGGACACTGTAACTTTGATCACTGGAATGAACTGGACTTCAACAACGGTTTCCAACTCATGGAGACATTGATTCGTTCTTTGGGCCTTCCAAAAGCCGATGAAGACCAAGTATGTGATGAGCTTCAGGAGTGGGAAACCAAGGGTTAGTCATCTTAATAATGAGACGATGATGTGCATGTGGCGCATAAGGCCCTAACCAAATATATTCGGTGCCTCTCCAAGGGTGGGCCCTGGGAGACTGAGGCACTGAAAAATACTTTCAAAAAATACTTAAATACTTTTGGATACCTCTTCTAGGGTGAACACCAGTCTTTCTTGCAGCTCTGTGTGAACTGATCTTCTCAACGTTAGTTTCATCATTTCTCGCCTACATTTGCTGTATGGGGGAATAGTCCATTTCACAGTTGTATGGTTGGTTGTCAAGCCTTTGAACGGGAGTGAGGCTAGGGGTGACCTTGTTATGATACAAATTTTGCTCCTTTTTAAATGTAAATCACTTTGTTATCTTGCTAACTAGATACAGGTCTCTATCACGACAAGGTCACCTTCAGCCTCACTGCAAATCAAAGGCTTGGCAACTAAGTACACAACCTTAAAATGGCCTATTTAACCAGTGTCTTGGTAGAAAATGTTCAGTCCACTGTTTTCCACCTTCCCTTTTTAATTTTTTTCTCAAAATCAAAAGGCTCTTTGGCTACCCAAGGTAAAATATTCACATCATGGCTGACGTTGTTTCTTGGCAGGTTTGAAATTGTGCATGGGTTCTCCAGTGGACAAGGATCTGATGAAACTTGTCAGCATTGAAGTAACCAACTTAACACAAAACTTAGAGACCATAAAGAAATTCAATGTTGATGAAGCCAAGAGGATAGGAGAAGCTCTTCAAGACGCCACAAATGAAATAACTAAGTTTGATAAACGTATAGCGGACATAGAAAGTCGATTGGAAGAAGAGCACCAGGCGCAAACAGACAAGAACAAAGAATTCTCATCAGCAATTGAAGGTATTACTAACAACATAACTATAATAGAGGAACGTCAAGATACAAATGAACAAAACATTTCCTTGTTAGAAGAAAGGCATAATGAGCTAGAATCATCTGTAACCTCTTTAAAAGATGGACAAGGTGCACTTACCTCAAAGGTAGAAGCTTTAGAGTTCGGACAAACTCAGTTAGATTCTCGGCTGAAAAAGTTAGAAGAGGGTATTGCCATTGCAACAGTCGATGCTGAAATTTTGCATCTGCCCAGTCGCAATCATTGCTTTTGTGGTCGCGAACGTGAGCTCCAAAAAATTGCATCGCAATTGAAAAATGTTGTGAGGGGTTGTTCGGAATCAGCTATTTGCGGTCTCGGGGGTGTAGGAAAAACATCTCTTGCTGTCGAGTTTCTCTGGCGACAGAAAGATAAGGAGCAATATCCCGGTGGTATTTTCTGGATTTCGGGCGAAAACAACAACCTTTTCCAGTTGTCTGTCAGCGAGATGGCACGTCAAATTGGAACTTTTGATGACAAGGACTTTTCGAATTCGCTGTCAAGAACCTTGGACTGGTTGAGAAAGCGTGAACAGCTGTGGTGTTTAGTTGTTGACAATCTGGATGAGTTAGAAGTGTCCATGGATATGAAGAAGTTGCTCACTGGTCATTGGAAGCAAGCCGCCCGTGGTCATATCATTATAACCACAAGAAGAGAAACAACAGAAATCGGAGAAGAAACAGGAATCGAAGAAAGCTCTTGTATTGAGTTGAAATGCTTCACAGAGGAAGAGGGAGTTCAATTTTTAAAATCAAGAGGTGGAACAGCCGGACAAGACAGTGATTTCTTTGAGCTTGTAGGAGAGCTCGGCGGACTGCCTTTAGCTCTTGATCAAGCTGCTGCTTACATTCGATGTCTTCGCCAGCCTATCAAAGAATATCTGAAGAAGTATAGGAAAGAGAAGATGCTTCTCTTGAAGAAGAAGAAGGCTCGTAATTGGGTGGAAAATACATCACCTGAGCGACTGGCTGTCCACACAACATGGTCGTTAAATTTTAAGCACGTCAATCAAATGTCAGAAGATATGGATCTTGGAGAAACTCCCTCAATCGTAATGAAAATTTGTGCCTACCTAGGTCCCGATGACATTCCTTATCAGGTGATAAACGAAGGACTCCACGTTGTGGGAACGTCTAAGGCAGTAGGCGATTTGTGGGATGCAGCCGAGATAATGTCCTTTTTTACTAAGTTTTCCCTTTTTCAAAGGTATGGGACAGATTCTTTTAGTGTACATCGTCTGGTGCAAGACGTTATCCGAACTGAGATTGAAAAGGACAAAATTGAACTGCGTATACTATGCTGTGCAGTGCACACACTTAACCATGCACTAACAAAAACACTCTCCCCAGCGGAAGTCTGCAGGAGTTTCGTTGAAGATTCGGTCTTCAGTGTTGAGAATCCTCCTTCGTTAAAACTGTGGAGCAAGTTGGCATCACACTCAACCTATTTGCAAGAACATTTGCGTAGCCACCTGGAGAAACATGAAAATGATGTCGAACATTTCTACACCGATGCAACTGTTCGTATCTTTAATGAAGCAGCGATATTTTTTAGTGTTTCGCAGGAGAAAGTGAAAGCTCAGGCCATGCAAAAAAAGAAACTAGATTTGCTAGTACACCTTGAAAATCCGACCCCTGAGGAAGATTATAACTTGCCGCATTATTTTGTTGATGTACCTTTGAAGGACAAGGACTACAAGGTGATAACGTGTTGTATGAGAAATCCTTCTCCTGAAAACGAGGCCGTGGCTGAAGAGGATTTTTCTTATAATGAGAAGAAGGAGGAAGCCGACCAACTCAGGGAAAAAGGAAACGATGCTTTTAAAAATGGCAATTTGAAAGAAGCACTGAATCTTTACACAAGAGCCATTGATTTGTGGCCAAATGACCACAAGCTGCTTTGTAACAGGGCCCTCTGCCATTTGAAACTTGGAGAACCAAGAAATGCTCTGGAAGATTGTCAAAAGTGCCTTAATCTAAAACCTGATTACAACAAAGCACTTCAACGAAAGGCTTGGTCTCTGCGAGAACTTGCAGAAGGAGGAAATAGTGAGCTCGAAGGTCAGAAACGTGCAGCAATGGCAGTGGCCCTTCACTTCGATCCCAGTCTTCGCCAAGATAAAATGTTTTGTGACAGGTGTCCTGAGGCACCAGGGCTTCGTATTAGAGAGATAAATAACGAAACTGAGCTGGTGTTTGCTTTGACGACGACTAAAGGAGACGAAACCTTGCTGTTGCATGAAGGAGAGTACCATTTAACTTTCTTTGGAACTTTTAGGGACCTTCAGATCGTAGGTCTTGGACCCAAGACTTATTTGCATTGTACAAATATCTGCCAAGTTGCTCGCGCTAAATGTTATTTTGAACATATAGTGTTTCCCAGTGGGAACGTTCCTCTACTCTGCGAAGGAAAATACGGAGCCGTACACTTGAGTCAGTGTGAGATCTCAGGAGGAGGGAAAAGCTGTGAGGACTTTCCAGACTGTAACGGAGGACCAGGCTGTGTCGCGCCCTCTTCGGGAAAGCGTCCTTGCGATCGCACAAGAAAATTTGGCGATTCAGAATCAACGTCTGGCATAGTTGGCTTTCCGGGAGTAGATATTTCACACGGGGGCTCTGGACTTATTGAAAACTGTGTGATTCATAACTGTGGGGGCGGAGGTGCTCTTGTTGTTGGGCAAGGTTCTCGACTACTGGTGAAAAACTGCGAGGTGTACAAGAACCACCAAGCAGGATTAGAGGCAAGGGAAGGAGGAGAACTTGAAGCGATTGGAAACAAGATATTTGACAATGGTATTCACGGCATTCTGATTTGGAAACTCGCTGGGAAGTGTGACGTCAATGACAATAAGATATTTGAAAATGCAAAAGAAGGCATCATCGTCGGGGATACAAAAGAGAAGATAAGTTTACGAAACAACAGTATCCACCACAACAGACCCTTTGGTATTTCCCTTGATAATAATCCTCAAATTTTTATAAGCAACAATAGGATTTTCGAGAATGGATTCTGGGGCATCCTCGCTAAAGGGAGAACTTCAGCACGCATCGTGGGAAACGAACTCACTGGCAACAAATGTGGTGGAATTTTTATTGGTGTCAATTATTCTGGGAGGGTTGTTCTGGAAACAAATACTGTTAGAGATCACAGTGGCCCTTGGCTTGAGTATCAATTCAAAAGCGGTACCTTGGGTAACATTTCTAGCAGTTTACTTGACAACATAGAGAGCGATCCTCTGGGAGATATGCTTCCGGAGGGTGAAAAGCAAGTTTATTCAAAGCCTCCCATTCTTAGAGGAAATAAAGAATTCAAGAATGAAGAAGGCACGTATCATCCCAGAGAGGTGGCTGAACGACTCTGCAACGGTTGCACTTATTGTCGTCGCCGAAGAGATAAAGTAATGCGTTTTGTGAAGTGCCCAGGATGTCACATCGCATCTTACTGCAGCAAAGAATGCCAGCGGAACCACAGACGTAAACACAAGACAATATGTTTAGTCCTCAAAAGTCGCTTTGCTGTTGACGTTAGCCGTATTCCTTTAGTTGAGCAAGGAGAACACTCGTACTCGTTGCGAACGTTTGGCACTCATTTGAAGGGGATCGGAAAGGGGCCCAAACCAAAACTTAACAAAGAGTTTATCGTTAAGATTCAAACACAAACTCTTAACAGCCACCCACTGCAGTTGCTGAAAGTTTACGACCAAAGTGTCACGATCGATTGTTTCATCCAAAGTCCAGAAGTCTTCAACATGATAATGGATTGTGGCGTTCTTGGAGGTTTAAACAAGTTTACAAGTAAGAAGTGTTTTTTCTGGGCGATTTTTACTGAGCTAGGAGGAAAGCTGACAATTTATCTCGATCACCTGGCTCCTTATCAAGAGTGGTAAAAGTTCACTGGACAGTTTCCTACGATCCTCTTCAACCCGACCAAGTATTCCTGGAGTAGTTTTGTAGTTGAACATTTCCTTCTATCGAGAAGGAAACGTTGGTTAGTCTTTGCTTCTTAATCCAAGTGTCCTCACGTGCCTTTTTGGAAAAAAAAATATTTGCTTAGGGAAACTTGCTTAAAACTTCGGATGAAATTAAAACCTGGAATTCTCGAAGAAATGCTTCTTTATTGATTTTTAACTCACGCCAAGGAAACTTCTGATATTTTTTCAATAGAGGACAGTGACGAATTTGTTCAGCTTGCTTGTGTGGGAATTCTTCCTTACAGTAACCCACAAGAACTTAGATAAGTTAACGTGGGCCACTTAAACGAGTCGATTATGCATAGAGCACTTTGCGATAAGTGGATACATATCTATTTGTTATATATATATAAATAGAATAAATGTTTGAAAAGAAAATTTGCCCTGAGCGGGATTTGAACCCACGTGTTGCGGAGGCGGA